ATTCACTTCCAAAATGAAGCATTCTTCTTGCCAAAATACTGCAATTCACATGTGTTGCCTGCAGTGAAAGTATGAAAATAACTCAGGAGGTCTGGGGAGAGGCTCTTGGTTGGTTGGTTGTTTTTGCTTCAGTGCAGCCTCATTTCATGAAATATAGCTTATAGCATGAAACTACGCCAAGATGGCTCGCAGGCCTTTCAGAGAGACTAGACTTTCCACATTATGTAATCTGTTTTTCTTTTTTGGGGGAAAGAAGGGAGGATGGGAAGCCAAATACCCAAGGTTCTCTAGTAATATTAGATACCAAGCTGTAAAAGTACAGTTTTTCTGGGATCAGACCCCAGAGCCATCACCCTCTGGTATTTCAGGCTGTTGTTTGTAAGAGGAGATTGTGTTCATAAACAGAACCAGATAATACCCAAGAGGGTCACTCCTGTATTTGATTTCCAAATATAATATTGGCTCATGCTTCCTGTGTTCTGGCCTCTCCTGTTATCCACTGAATTCATTAAAAAAGTTTTGGCTACTGGCCAAAAGAAACGGTTAATGCATTGCAGAGCCTATATTGTTTGAAACATTTTTTGAGACAAGAATTTATAGCACTGCTATAATAAAACTCAGATTTCAGCATTAAAGTATGAGTCTGTATACTTGCCAGGCATACCAGTACTATATAGAAAATGTGACCCATGAAACTCTGAGGAAATTTGGAAAATATGTAGCAACATCTAGAAAGATGCCTTTAGGACCTTAAAGAACAACTTTAAGCAAGAGATAAATCACAAACGATGTTGCACAAAGTTCTGCAATGGACCTAAGAGAAACACTGCTGAATTGCAAATTCTTTGTCCTTCCTTCGCACCCAAGGAGAGCAATCTTAGCCTGATCTGGAGCACTTACTATCTTAGCCAAGAAAAGACAGGATTGAGTCTGGACTCGGCCCTCATTTTGCCCCCTCCGTGCCTCTGCCAGGCTCTCCAAAAGTTAGTTAATTTTTTTCTCTTTACTTTATTCTATTATGCATTCAAAGTATAATGAAATAGGAGCTTTCCACCCCAAAGAGAACATATTAATCTTCTGTAGGAATCACAATGTATTACTTTTTATAGACAAGAAAGAGTACATTTTTTCCTGTAAAGGAGTAGAAGTAAAGACTTTGCCTAAAATCCTGGAACAAACCTTTGTTTATGAGACAGGGGAATCATTTTTACTCTACTACATGAATTCAGTGGGCTGCCACAGGCCAGTCATAATCTGTTATTGTTTCCCTGCAACCTTGTACTATTAATTTTTCTTTTTAATGAACTGTCCAGTCTAGTTTAGCTATGGGAACCATGATGGAGCTGCAATATAAATGGTTTATGTCATGCCTTTGTCAAAAGGCTTTCCCCTACAGCACCAGAATATAATTGAAAAGCCATTTTAAAATAAAGTAACTGTATGGTTGCAAATGCAGGTTGTCAGGAGTGGTAAAAATCCTATGCATTATATTAGATTTTATCAGTCACATCTAGTGTGACTTTATTAGTATTTACTCAGATTAGTGAAGCCACAGAAATCACATATGTTTACACGGTTTTATTAGCGTGTATTCCTAGAAAGATAGTGAGTGTATTTTTAAGAAGTTGTTCTTCAGCTGTGACTAACCATGCAATAATTGGTTTGGTTAAATGTCTCGGATGAATTAAATACACTAAATGTTTTCTTTTATAGCATACAGAATAAGTGCATGTTTGAGAGAGTGAATTAACTTCTGAGTAGAATTAAAGAAAGCTTTTGTTGTATATGAAACCCTGAAGGGCTGAATACTCAAAGTCTTTTTATATGTGCTATATAAGCAAGAGTAATACTTTTGATTTATTTTTTTCTTACATTTATTTTTTCTAGGCCTGGTTGCATGTGCTTGTTTTTGGAGACACTATGGTGAATGCTTTTAAAGATATAATTGCATTATTATTACTATGAAAGCCCAAAGAGAGCTACTATAGAGAATACATACCATAGTTAAGGCTGACATCACCTTTAAAATAACTAGTGAAATTTCCTCAGAAACATTAGACATGCATTCACCAGAACACGTATCTCATAACTAAAACCAAAATGTTTGGCTTCCTCCTGGTTCTCAGTTCTGCTTCTTTCCTCTTACAGCCAGTGTCATCGTTTCGTGCCATGGAGTCTCTGCCTTTGCTCAGGGACTCGCACGCCTTGCGGGAAGCTCCGGAGCTCCTTGGGACACAGCCGGCCAAGGCTTTCCAGGGCACTAGGCAGGGCATATTACAGCCCAGCCAAAAGACTGGCAACATGCAAAAGGGACTCTCTGATGGACAAGTTGCTTTGGCATTTGAGCTGAAGCCAACTTTGGGTCAATAAGATCTGGGTTTCAGCTCAGTCCCAAACTGATAGTTCAAAATAACTAACTACACATTTCAACAAAAATCAAGATTCTTTCAATGAGATTCTTTCAATTCACAGAAATATTACCTATTAAAATGCTGACAGGAAAATTTAAACATCTATATTATGAGGCATTGAGTTGATAAGATCTAGTGCAGTATGAACTTTTTTTTTCCCTCTTACTTATAGAAGTCTAATTGATTTATAACGAATTTATAACAAAATAGTAGGATTTCTCAAGCCTATTTTATCTTGAATTGCACCAGCATTTTCTATTTCAGATCCCACAGATTGACACTCTATTCCTACATAATACTTCTAAAAGCAATGTATCTGAAAAGAAACCTAGCAGCTGTGCCTCCTGTCACTCCCTTTAGAATTTAGGTATGTATATTCCTTTGAACATAAATGTTTCAATAAACGTAAGGAGGAAATGTCTCACCAGGATACAGCTACGTAATGAAACTCTGGCCATCTTCAGTTCAACTGAGCAGCGAAGCCCATGCTATAGTCCCAAATGAGCTCAGTACTGCCTTTCTCCCTGCACTGTTGTTCTTTGTTCCATTAACAATAGTTAAACATGAATATTTACCTTGTCAACTGTTTGATTATGTAGATACTATAACAGGAAATTTGCATTCCTGAACAGGCACAGCTGGAAACAATTTAAGAGAAAAAAAAATCCTTCAAAAGAAGAGATGAGAATTTAAGCAGCATATGGATGCCCAGGTTTACATGATAATCAACAAAAGCGGTGCTTGTTCCTCCTCTTTGCGGGAGGCACTTCACATCCCCACCAGAGCGAACACCCTACAGTCACTCTGCGGGAAGCTTTCTTTCAAAAATGATTTCCTCTAACTCTGAAATGTAAAAGAGTCTATAAAAATAGACCTGACAGCTTCTCAAATAAGACATGAAAAAAGCTTGAGTAGGGACCCGGTTTATTAAATTCACTTATCTCATGTACTAGTGAGAATGGTGAATCTTCAAGTTTTCCTTAAAGGTTGTACCTTACAGTCCTTTAATTTGTTAAAATTGGAAGTGTAACTCCGAAGTCAAGAACAAGAAGAGTAGAACTAGGCCTGAATTACACCATGAATTGAAATACAAGAATGAGTGCCAGAACAGGCGAAGTAAAACGTCCGTGACGATCGTTACATAACTGTGCATGGAGGGGACGCTCAGTCAAAGGGAAGACATAACTAATTTAACTTCTGCTACGTCTTTTTGAAACCTATGTAGGAACTTGATACCCAGTCAGGAAGTCTGCCATCAACCCAAGCTTCCTTTAAAACTTCATTCCCTGCTGACAGGCTGTGTCTGAACGAGAACTGAGCGCTGCCTGCAAAATTTGGCCCTTGAGGTTTAGTGAAGGACAGAAGAAAATCTCCCACGCTGAGCCAGAGCTCTTTGCAGCTAAGAAGCAAAGGGACTTGCAGATACCTCAGCTTTCTAAACAGAATGCTGCTGCCTTCCCTGCCAAAAACACTGTGTTGGAGCCTAATACTGATTGCTGCAGTCTGCCTTAACAAGGCAGCACATACCATCCACACACATCCCATATAGTTGGTGGCAAGGATGTTGTGGTATACCGCCCATTTGGCTGCCAGAACTAAGATGATCATTCAAGGACATTGCCGCAGAAATGAAGCATCTGTCAAGCAGGACTGGAGTGCACAGAATGCAAAACCTGTGAATGAGTCAGCTAGACAAAGAGCTTTAATATCCTGGCTTCATACACTTTATCTCTGAAAATTCTGACGGGATCACGCATTTGACTGTAAAAATGGCAGTATTTACATATCTATTATTATCTATTACATTTAATCTGTTTCCCTGATAATTTCAGAAAAGCAGAGATTCTTCTACAAATGGAGAATTCTCACCTCTGAGAAATCATTGCTTTCAGGAATAGCACAACAGAAGTCACACAGGGTATGAAAAGTTAAAGGCTATCATAATAGCATATATACATATATATATATAGCCCTTTCAGATTTAGAGTTTCCAGTCCTGCCCTATTTCCACACTTCTGCAGCCACCTCCTCTGAAGCCTAAGAGTCATCACTACATTCATTTCTTAACCCCAGTCTGAGCACTCTTTGAAGCTCTGTGATTACACAGCACATTGTTGGTGAATAAAACAAATTTGGAATTAATCATTCATGCACACAGGCCTAGAACAAGAAAATTAAGAAACTCTGACTGATAAAGTTACAAGCCTACCTATTAAACAGTTTCTAACATTCCTTCTCATAAATGCTACCTTTCTGAGTTTTCAAGAGGTTCTCTGATGCTTTAAAGAAGACAGTAAATGAGTGTGATTCAAAAAATGCAGCTTATTAAAGCACGCTTTACAGGTATAGCAGGATGGCTAGGATCCTATAGCATCATCTTCCATGAGTCACAATCAAGACCAAGGGAAATCCTCTATGAAACTGGATGAGAAAAACTGACTTACAGAGTACATCAAGCATGGGATCCCTTATTGTACATAGTGTACTGTACATACTTCTATAGATTCTGCATGTAAAGGAGACAGAGCAGAAACAAGAGACTGTGCTGTGCGTCACTCAGCACATCAGGTGGTTGGATGCACTACTCACCTTCACCCACTGGAAACTTGTTGCCAACTTATGTAGCATATTCCACACATTTGAAACGCCACTTAACGAGACTACGATGACATTGCAGACGTAAGCTTTCTGCTGCCACTTATCCAGTATTTCAGCTCTGGCTGCAAAGAATGAAAAAGTTCATTTGAAACCCAATGAAACTTTGGTACCGTAATAAAAGAAAATTAAAGTCTATCCTATAAACTATCCCAGTAGCCCAAAGAGAGTTTAAAGACTAGCGATGTATAGGCATGTATATGCCAAGGACAGAATTAATAACTAGTTTTTTCCTTAACAGACTTACAAGAATGTTCCCATAACTAAAATATCAATATTCCTTCACATCTTTTGTGTTACCTCCTGAACAGAGTTCTATGGAAAAATCTGTTCTGGGAACATTATCCAATACAAGACATACTGTAGGGA